GCATTTTAAATCTCAGAGAAGTTCTTCAAAACATTAAATTAATTTAAGTAACTGTTTTTAGATGTCACACCTATAACTTATTTAAATCATTTATTTAAAAATAAACAGATAGACTAGGTAAAGGCATCCTTGTTCACTTACTCATAGAAGTTCCCAAGTGTTCTCTTCAGTGGTGTCAGTAAGGCAGAGACATGAGAAGGGTCTTTTACATCCTGTTCCCTATGAGGAAACAGAGAGATGACATTGTTTATGAGCCTGTAAATCAGCTCCTGTCATACATCAGCTTTACTGCACTGACTTTGGACTGTCAAGACTATGAAGCTGTGAGGAGTACATTTCTGTTGTTGATATTTATTACATAGTATTTTGTAATAACAATCCAAACAACTGATGAAACATGAATAAATATGCTGTTTGCTTACAATCTGTGGCTACACTTCAGTGACCTTTCTTGCACTGTAGAGAGGCATGTTGCTGTGATCATACATATAGGGAGGTGAGGTCTCCATGAACATTATGTCATCAAAGCCTAAGCTGTTTACTTATTCAGCAATTTGATTGTCCCCTTACTCCATTTCTAGTAGCAGAACATCCCATATCCTCAACCTATCTTCTCTTGACTTCAGTTCACATAATCATTATCTTCTCCTGGATATGTAATTATTGTATTTCAATTGTTTCCTTGGGCTTGACTGTCTAGATTCTGTATCTGACAGAATAGCTAACTCATAATTATGATATCATTCTATTGATTACAACTGTGCTTAAATACTTTGTCTCTACAGATGTCTAACTCTTAATCCCTCACATTTTAGGTAATAGAATTAAGAAGTAGGGGAGGTGTATATCATAGGGGGATGAATGGGGTTAACATTTTCATGAAGTGTTAGAGAGAGACTTTTTGTCCCTCTTGCCAGCCTTCCCTGTGAGAGCCCAGTAGCCACACACCATCTGTGGATGATGGCAGCCCTTCTCAGGTGCTCCAGTCTCAGCCTCAAACTTCCCGATCTTCAGAACAAAGATTCTACTATTGATAAACTACCTAGTCTAAGATATCTTGCAGTAGCAGTGAGCAAAGACTAAAAGAAGCCCTTTTCCATTCACCTTTAGGGTAAAGCCAAAATGTAAAAATTTAAGAGAAAAGTACAACTCCACTGATAGACTCCCAGGAAATAACTACAATGTTAACATCACAAGTTATTACTCATGGGATTCATTGAAAACTATACACAGAAAAAAAGTCATAGCTCTGAAGACTTATCTCAATAAACAAGAAATAAATAAAACCTCTTCAAGAATAAGAAAATGCAAAACAAATCTAAAGCACACAGAAAGAATAAATACAAAAATGCATCAAGAATCAGATAAACACAACTAACAAATAAATATAAAAGTTAATCCTTTAGAAAGATTGAATTATTGTCTTAACTACTTTTCCATTGCTTTGATAAGATACCATGACCATGGCAAATTCTTGAAGAGTTTATTAAACTCTTGAGGGTGAGTCCATGCTCACATGACAGGGAGCATGGCAGCAAGCAGGCACCGGAGCAGTCGCTGACACTCACATCCTCATCCACAAACATGAGACTAAAGGAGACACTGGGAATGGCACAAGTCTTTTGAACTCTCTCAGCAGGCCCTCAGTGTCACACCTCTCCTAACAAGGGCACACCTCCTAATCCTTCCCAAACACCGCCACCAACTGGAGACCAAGTACTCAGACATATGAATCTATGGAAGTCATTCTCATTCAAGCCACCACAATTACAACATAATCATATGAAAAGTAAAACACATAAACTGGCAAAAATAAAAAGGATTGTTAGGAAAATAACCACAGATACAGACAATTGAAAATTATCACAGAAAGTCACACTTGAGAACTTCAAAAAAAATGAATAAATTGAAAAATAATAAATCTTAAAAACACCACAAGAGACAAAACCTAAATATGATATTACTATAACAGAAATAATTCTCAGCGGGGCTTCCTTCAATTGGTCTCACAGAATTATCAGAAAATTCCTCCCCTCATCCCAGTGCTATGGGTTAAATCTAGGATTGCATTCACACCAAGTAAGTGTTTTACCATTGAATGACAACCCCAGTGCTCTTTTTATTGTTTTAATTTTGAGAGAAGTTCTCACTAAGTTGCCCAGGCTGACCTTGAATTATTAACTCAATAGCCTAGGCAGGACTCAGCAGACTTGGAAGCTTCAGGCTCTTTAGTACCTACAAGCACAGATGTAACCACCAGGTTTGGGAATTTATCAGGAAATCTTAACAAAACTCAGAATATAATTAACTCCACCATATAATTAACTCCATAGACATGAAAGTCAATCAAAATTTAGTATCCAGTCTGAAGATAACAGCTCAGTATGGGAACACATCCTAACATACTCAAGTCTTTGTTTCAATTTCCAGCAATGCTGAACAAATAAATAAATATTAAATCTGGCCTTTAATCCTGGGATGTCTCTCCCTAAAACAGAAATAGATACACTTTTAACATAAAAATATTTTATTAAGCAAGGCATGGTGGTTACTCATGCCCATAATCCCAACACTCAAGAAGCTGAGGCAGAACTACCATGAGTTAGAGGCTAGATTGGGTGATATAGATGAGATCTTGTCTAAAAAACCAAACCCAAGCCAAAACAACAAAATCTCTGTAATACATGCACACACACACACACACACACACACACACACACACACACACACACAATCCCAGCATCTCATGCCTAATAAACCAATATTAGAATCATTTCATCTCATGTCAGAGAAAAACATAGAATATCTCCTATCATCATTATCATTTTGTTCTGGCAATTCTGGGTCATACAATTTGATAAGAGTTTTAATAGCTATATAAATAACAGAAAGGGGAAAAAACTATTGTCTTAGTTAGGGTTTCTACTTCTGTGACTAAAAAACATGACCAAAAAGCAAGTTGGAGAAGAAAGAGTTTATTTAGCTTACACTTCTATCTTGCTGTTCATCGGTGAAGGAAGTCAGGACAGCAACTCAAACAGGGCAGAATTCCGGAGGCAGGAACTGATGCAGAGAGCATGGAGGATGCTGCTTACTGGCTTGCATCCATTCCTTACCTTGCTCAGCCTGCTTTCTTACAAAACCTAGGACCACCACCACCGGGACAGTACCACCCACGATTGATCACTAATAGAGAAAATGCCTTACAGCTGGATCTCATGGAGGCATTTCTACAACTGAGGCTCTTCCTTATGATGACCCTTGCTTGTATCAAATTGATACACAAAGCCAGCTGGTACAACTATTATTACATAAATTGATAACATTACCTACCAGAAAAATCTTTAGGTTTACAATTAATAAAAATATCACATTAGATACTGTGTTTCAGATCTCAAATGCCTCCTACATGATAGTGTTTTGATGCTTGGTACCCAGCTAGTGACATTGTTTGAGGATGTTTGAGGAACTCTGGGAGGTCCTTAGAGGTGATTACCCTGACCACTGGTTCCCACAGCAATCTGTGCCCACTCCGCCAGCTGTGGACTACTCTGTTCTGCCACACTCTCCTTTCTATGGTGAACTGAAATTTCTAGAAACTATGAGCCAAAATAAATCAATGCTTCCTGTCATCCTTTCCTCCTCCCTCCCTCTTTCCCTCCCTCCTTCCCTCCCTTCCTTCCAACCTTCCATTCTGCATAACCTGAGGATATGAGGGAGAATACAACCAAAGGCATCTGAAAGAGTTTAGAGCAGAGAAACAAAGTAGTAAACTGAACATGGCCTGCAGACTGGGTCTGGTTGTGTGAGGAGATACAGAGAAAACAGAGTGTGGGCAAAGTAGACCAAGAAAGAGGGCCAAGAGAAAAGGGGCCAAGGGCACAGAGCTGAAACAATAGGGTGACAAGGGAATGAGAAGCTGGGGGAGGCAAGCACATGAGATGGAGAAGTTTAGGGTAGGGGGCAGGACAAGAGCTGAGGGGAACCACAGGTACTTGAGATACCAAGATCTGGTAGCCAGCAAGCACTTGGATATGCTAACAGACACTATTGATAGCCATTTGTCCTGAGATTCATTTGACCTGACCCTTCCTTCTCTCCCTCCTTCTTTCTCTCCTTCCTTCCTTCTACCCCTCTCTCCTCTCCCTCTTTCTCTCCCTCCTTTTTTCCCTCCTCTCCTTCCCTTCCCTTCCTTCTTTCCCTCCTTTTCTCTTTCCTCTCTTCCCTCCCTCCTTCCTTCCTTTCCTCCTTCCCTCATCCACTTCATTGTCTACATCTGGAAGGCTGATCACAGAGCTCCAGATGTAACTATTACACCCATATCCATTTCTCTATGGTGGGTAGAGTGAACTAATATTTTTAAAAAAAAGTCAGTAACTTTATATATGCAAACAACATGTTGGGATGTAGAAAGAATAAAAATTATTGCCTGGATGCTCTTCTGTTCACATCATGTCTGGTGTTCTCTTTGTGTTAAATAAACCCATTTTCTTCAACAACAACAACAAAAACTATTAACAATGTAACAAGAACAACAAAATACCCAGTAACTAATTTAACAATAAAAATTTAAAATTGCTATCTGGAACTGAAAAGATGAAAAAATTGAATATTAATCCATAATCTGATTGTGATAATTATGATGAGAATTTTTAAAAGAAAGATATGTACATGTTTCTATTATCACTTGGTAATTAAATACAAGTAAGAAAGAAGGTTCTGTGAAAGAATAATAATAGAGTACAAACTGGGCCAAGTATTTAAAATACAGCATCAAGCAATGTAATAAAAATAGTGTTATTTTGTGGGTGAAAAGACAGCAGTTGTGTGTGCAAAAATAGATAGCATGTGTCTAACTAATACATATGTTATCTGGTCAATAAATCATTTAAAAATAATTAAAATATATTAACTAGTAAATGGTGTTTGAACAATTGTTAACCACACAGAAAAGTAAATTTATCATGATTTCAAATATTTTGAAAAGATTTTATTTTTATCTGCTACCAAGTAAGTCAACCAGTTCCTTTCTTCATGGGGTCCTTGTGTGCAATAGTCATGAGCAGCAGCCTCCTTGGGAGTGCATTCATCCTGTTGCCAGTAGGAGTTGTCCCAAGGGACATTGGAGACAGTTTTCTTGTGGGTATTCATATCTCTGATCTCAGTGCTGTCCCCAGTCTAGTGTCTAGACAGGTAGGTATGCCTGATGCTTTTGAGAAGCCCCAGGCAGTGGCCAGGACATCCTGTCCACCTGCACCAAACTACAGAATAAGCGCTGAGTGACCAAGGTACTATTCACATTCCCTGGATATCTCAAAGAGTTGGGACTTCAGCAAGTCTAATACAGATGAATTTAAAGACATGATAGCTGAGAAGCAGTTCATCCTTAAGGGCTGTTTGGTCAAATATATCCCCAGTGTGGTTCCCAGGCAAGCACAGGCCCTACACTCCTGATGGCTTCTGTTGTGCTGTGTGGCACCCCACAAAATCATGTTCCATCTAAATCTCACATCTAGTCAAATTTTTAAAAATATTTATTATGTATATGTGTGCATACCTATGCAAGTGTATGTCACTGTGGGAAAATACCAATGGAGGCTGCAAGAGAGTATCAGATCTTTTAGAATCGGAGTTAGATTCAGTTGTGAGGCTTCTAATGTGGCTGCTGGAAACCTAACTCTTCCAAAGGGCCACTGGGAGCATCAAGTGTAGTTAGCCTCTCTTAGCATTTCTCCAGTCCCCATTATTTAATATCTTACAAAAATAAACTCCACATGGCCTAAAATTTTCAACATAAGAAATAAAACCATAAACATACTGAAAGAAAAAACAGCCAAAGGGATGTTCTTGGAGTTGATAAGGCATTCCTGAGCATATAATGACCCAGATAACAAAGAACACAGCATGAAACTATATTGGCTTAAAGTATCTCTGTGTCTCCACATAAAAAATGGAGACAAAAGTTAAAGAAGTAATTTCTTATAAGGGGAACACTTATAGATGGACAGCTTATCTTCTGGAAAATTATTAAGGAAATATTTTAAAAATGCAACCAGATATTCACAGTCAAAGAAATGTGGTCTCAGAATTTGTGAAATGGTATTCCACTTCAGATTTAAGCATAATAACAAAAATGGAAAGAAAAACTAAAAAGAAAGGTGATATCTTTCAAAAAAGAAAATTTTAATTAAAAACTGTATTGCTAAGAATGTGGGAAAATAAACTTCTTAAACTGCAGATAGCAGGCTGTATGGGAGCAAGTTCTCTGGAAAGAAACTGATCAATATAGTGTCTTTTGCAGAACTAAATTTGATGTACACCTTGTTCACTGTTCTAAAGAGACACAATGACCAAGGCAACTCTCCTAATAGAAAGCATTTAAGTAGGGGCTGGCATACAGTTTCAGAGTTGGTGGGGAGCATGGAGGCAGGGATGGTACTGGGGAAGTAGAGAGCTACATCCTGATCTGAAGGCAGAGAGAGGCAGCCTGGAACTACCAATGGACAATTGAAACCTCAAAGCCCACCCCCAGTGGCACACTTCCTCTAACAAAGTCAGACCACCTAATACTTTCAAATAGTGCTACTCCCTGGTTACTAAGTATCCAAATATATAAAAGCCAATGGGGGTCATTCTTATTCAAACCACCTCAATACACCACTTTAGATCAGGGATGCATCTAGTATTTATCTTACATAGAAGTTACATGTTCTTACATGTGCAAAGTTATAAATGGATACAAATGACAATTGCTGTATTGGTATGAATACAAAAAGCTGTAAGCTTTACTGTAATGAAGAGTTAAATAAATTATGATGTATTGTGATATTGTGAAAGAAATAATTTTTGTGTATTAAAATGGGAAGATCTGGAAATATATTAAATAAAATAGATACTATATCTCTTACCTCTTGTGGGTGGGGATTTCTGATTATAATTTTATATACATATATATGTGTGTATATATGTACAAAGCTATATGTGTTTACCATGTACAACATAATATTATTAGGTATATAGAAACTATGGAATGACTAGGCCTAGCTAATTTATAAATGAAATACCTCACATATAATTTTTGTAAAGTATCTCCATTGTCTTAAGATTTTATAAAAGTACAAGACATTATTAATTGCTCAGCATGTTATATAAAAGCACTCTTAAACTTACTCTTCCTGCCTGAGATTTTGTATCCTTTAACCAAGTCTCCCTGGCTCTCACTAACCATCGCAACCCCAGAACAGTCCATTCTACTTTTCATTTCTATGATCAAATATGCTTGTGAAAAATGACTAACATAATTAACCACCAGGGAAATGTAGATTTAAATATGGTGAAGTGACATCTCACAACTGTTAGGACAGTCATGAAGAAAACAAAAGGTGCCATTGAGGCAGCTCAGCAGCTAAACACTCCTGCCACCAACATGGATGGACTAATTCTGTCCCCAGGTCACATGTGGTGGAAGGTGGGAACTGACTCCTGGAAGTTGTCCTCTGACTTCCACACATGCTGCACACACACCGACGCAGCACACCACACACAGACAGTAAATTTGAGTGAAGACTTGGGGGGAAAGTGAAAGCTTACACACTACTGATGGGAATATGAGTTAGTCCACCCATTCAGAACAGCAATAGACAATCACTTGCCTCAGCAATTCATCTGTCTGATTTATATCCAAAGGAGATAAAAACAGCATGTCTAATAAAAACTTCCAATTCATGAAAACACTGTTCACAATAGCTTATTAAAAATATTTTTAGTAAGCAAAAGTTTATTAAAACACTGTCCACTGTTCACAATGAAATCAGCTTTAGTGTCTATTAGTGGAGAAAAGGATAAAGTGAACTTGATTAGTGTGTGTGTGTGTGTGTGTGTGTGTGCTTGCGTGCATGCGTGCATGTGTGTATGTGTGTGTGTTTATGAGTCCAGTAAAATGCTATTCAGTCATATAAAGAAGGAATGAATCAACCTGCATGTCACCCTGTTACATGGAAAAGGACAGTCACAGAAAGATGATGGTCTCATTTGTCTGTAGAAGCTCGAAGAACTATGCACATTTTAAAATGCATTGGCCATTCCGAATGGAATTCTCAGATTATAGAACCCTCAGACTAGTGCCAGGAGAGGGTAGCTGATTACTAAAGGATGGACATGGAGGAGAACATCTTTTCACTGTATTCCCTAGTGTAACTTGAGTTTTGAGTGCATGTGTGAATTTTTTTTCAAATAAATAAAAATCAGTTTAAAATGTATCCAATTAGAAGGAACAGAAAGCATTTCAGTCCCCAAATGAGATACCTGAACTGGAAAAGATGAGAGTTGGGGAACAGAGCTGGGAGGGAAGTGTTCCAGGCTTTGGCATTGATTTATCTTGGGAAAAGAAGTCTGCAACAGTTGGTTTTGATTATAGGAGCCACACTGCAGCAGAAAACACTGATGGCCAGCTGTGGTTTGTCTCTGCTGAGTCTGCACCAAGGAGGAATTAGGGCAGAAGGGACTGGAATTACGACAAATAGCAGCGGTAAAGTGTTCCGCACTGCTGGTCCTGGTCAGGGCTGGAATACTAGGTCACTGGACCATGTTATTCGGGGGTTGTTGCTTCATGCGCTCTTCTTTATCTTATCTGTGTGTTATCCAAACACACAGAGGCCTCCGAGGTTACTCCAGGCCACTAAGAATGTGAAGGGCATCAGGTCACTGTGGGGGCCACCGGGATGGGCCGACCTGCTCTCATATCTGCGGTGGGGGCTGGGGGGTCACCACTGAGGCAGCAAGAACAGCCTTCAGGTATCGGGCATGCTGAAGACAGGAAGTCACCACAGAGCTTAGCCCAGGGAAGCCTTTCTTGGTACAGGTGCATTTAGAATGGACTCTAGAATCATCTTCAGATGTGCCTAGAGGTAAATCCCAACCCTCACTGGATGAGTGGAAGAAACCACTGGGTTTTTTTTGAAAAGAGGGAAAGGAGTAAAGGCAACGTTGGCAGGAATGAACAGGGAGGCAAAGTGAATTGACTTCCTGGTGCTTTCCCTGTCAAAATACTGAGGAGACAAAGACGTTAATTTACCATTAGATTCTCTGAAAGAAGTATTTCTTTTTTTCTGCCCCTTGGCTTGATTTTCTCTCTCTCTCTCTCTCTCTCTCTCTCTCTCTCTCTCTCTCTCTCTCTCTCTCTCTCTCTCTCTCTCTCTCTGAGTCTTCTAGACCCAACTGTACTATCCTTTCTTCAGGACATTCTATCCTTTCTTCAGGACACTGGAAAAGACTGTCCATGGCTGGGTGGGGTTGAACTTCTGCAGCCTCTCAGACTGTTGAGAACAATATGGTCCCCTTCCTTCTACCAGCAGATCAGGTTATGACTTAAGAGGTGAAAGTGCCTTGAAAAAAATAAATATTGTCCAGTTGCTGTGGAACTTGTTATTTCTCAACTTAACAAATGATTCTTTGCCTAGTAACAAAAAGGTTTTGAGGTTCCTTAAAAATATAAATGGTTCTGCAATAAAGAGATTGGTGGGACAAAAACTTGACACCAATTCATGCCATGAACACAGGCAAACAGGACGTCAGGGAGCAGTGTCATTAGGGAAAATGAGCCAGAACTCAGCTCTAGTTTCTCAAAGCCAAGGCAGCTGAATTGCAACGCCCCCTGGGAGGGCACTTACTGATATGTGTTGTGAAAGTGACCAAAGGCAGACCTGCCTCTGGGAATTGGAATTGTCTGGAAAGAAAAGCTCCTTTCCAGACACAACAACAAAGCTCATGTCTAACCTTTAGAGTCCAAACTCAGAAAAGGACTCTGGCTCCTCCAGTCTAAACTTGAGTTTTGAACCCCATCCAGGATGTGTATTAGAAGAAGAGCTAGCGCTAGTGAACAGCATGAAGTGGGGTTGGGTGGGGTTGGCTGCCAGCCAGTGTTGGTGACCCACCGCTTTGCTCTGCTCCTCATAGCATCATTCTCACTGTTCCATAGCTGTCCAAAGCCCTGATCATCACCCATTGGGTTGAAGCCATGTACCAGGAGAGCAGCATAGCTACATCACATATTTTGCCTCCCACCGGGGATGATTTTCAACATACAAGTAAAATGAAATCTTCGAGGAGCTACAAGGGGAAATGGGTTGGGGGTTC